TCCCAAAGCCAGTGATGCCAGTTCTGTGGCCCACAACCAGTCAAACTGCCCCCTCCGCCCCTGGAAAGCTTGCAAAGGACCATAGGTTCCTGAGGACCTTAGACAACACAGTGCTAATCCTGCACCAGAGAGAGGGAGCTGCAACTGCGCACAACGCCCAGACAAGGAGAGGTCCTGTGGCTGCTACGGAGGTATAATCATTTCAGTTCTTGAGTCACAGAAAGTCTTAATCACCTTGGATTTTTGTTTACCACAAAACACTCTAGCTGATGCCTCGACCTTCCAACCTCTCTGCTGCTAATAACCACAGAAACCATCATCCTTAAATCTATCGGGATAATATTGTTTCCCTATCTAAAATTCTGCAGGGCCTTCTTCAGTCATTCCTCGTGCTCATTCTAAATTCTCAGTAACTGCATGTCTCTTTATTAGCACAGCCCTTTGAGAAGACATCCTTCTTTGCTGGCCCTCACTGGAGGTCATCCTTCCTGAGAAGCAAGTTCGCTACTTACCTCAGACACAAAGCCCAAGTCCTGCAGTTCGGTTCACCTGTTCCTGTCTCTTCTCACAGGAACGCCTTTCTGCAAAGTCATCTTACTTGCTCCTTCAAAACATCAAACTCAAGATCCACAAAAGAAAGAGCAATAAAAACCTCAAAGACTTTTGGTCTCATAAATCTAGCAAACATCATCTCAGCATTTCTAGACATTCTGAGAATTATACAGTCCAGTGATGAAACTGCAGCTAAACATGCAGAAATTGGAGTCAAACTGGGTTCCTATTTTACTCCTGATTAGCTCTTTGGCTTTAGGCTAATTATTTGAATTACCTAACTGATAAATTTTATCATTTGTAAAATAAAAATGGTATCGCGAAATTTATCCGTGCGACACATATATGTTGGCCACCACAGTGATATCAGGACCAAGGACACCACAGTGAAAAGAAAGACAAAAATATCTAACCTCATGGAGACCATGGCTCAACAGCTCGTGGCAAGAATAATGCATAATCAATGAATTGGTGTTGTTCTTCACATAGTGAGTAGCAGATGAATATTAGCCACCAACAATATTTTGGACTTAAAATAGTATAACAAATCGACTGAATTAAATATGTCAGTGGAGATGTAAAATGTTTGCAGGGCTACTTCCGTAACAACTGGAAGAGAATAGAGCCAGATGTTGTTTTTAAGGAGTTAGCACAGAGCCTGGGCCAGATTAGCACTTCATGGATCAGAATTGTTGGTGTGATGGCAAAGCAGTCCTGTCCCTGGTGTGGGATGAGTGAATTCAACAGGGTGGACTGTGGGTGGACTATGGGATGAGGCTGGGCCTCAGTGCCACAGCCATCCCAAAGCCACTATGCCCTCTGCAGCAATGCTCACAGACCTCTCAGGCCAACAGCAGTGGAAATCCCACAGCCACTGACAGGGCGCTGAGCACAGTGGATGCCCTCACCTGCACCTTCTGCCAGGGAACAAAGTGATGCCCAGCCCAGAGCACCCCTGGCAGGGAAGACCGGCCTCACATATTCAATCAATAATCTGAACCTTAGAATTCCTGTACCATTTTCACTCCCCTGCTTGCTTCTCTTGGATTCATTCAGTGTAAATGAAACCCAGAGAGGACAGCTAAAGAAAAGAGAAAAAGGCCGCCTGAATGTCAGGGACACTGAGGACCCTGGCAGGGAGAGCAGAGTCTAACCATGACCACTGTCTGCTCACAGAAGTGCAAACTTCCGCATCCTGGACGGAGTTTGAGCTCCATCATTACTTCAAATGTGACAAAGCAGTGTCCACCCCAGAGCCAAGAGGCCGCTTGTTATTATTACATGTCATCCCTGAGCTGAGATCCTGGGATGCCGCCTTTCCAGGTACAGAGTTTGTGCTTTTTACTTATTACTCCCATGCAGGCCAAGCAAGTACAGAACTCACTGCAGTCTACAAATGAAATTATTTTCCCATTAGGGGAAAAACATGAAAAGAAACAACCTTTGAAAAATGCTAATGAAATGTAAGCCCGCCCGTGGCATCTGTGACAAAAAATCCTATGTCACCACTTCTGGGGAGCTGGCTCTTGGCTTAGCTGTGGCCCGCAGGATTGACAAAGACGGGTGTGAATGTATCCCCGGGCACTAGGGTGCTGTTTTTCAAGTGAGCAGGAGCGAGGCACGCTTGGAACACATCAGACTTCAGTGAAATCCATTCTCCGGAGCAAGCAGGAACTTAGACACAAAGTTTAGACCCTAACCACGCGTAAAACAAAAGACATCCGCAGTGGTGTTTCGGTTTCTCATTGCTCATGAAGACTTTTATTTTGTCCAGTTCGAGTGAGTTCTAGCCATTGAGGCAAGATGTCAGATTTCTGACTGTTCACGGAAAATGACATTTCCAGGATTTTGCATGTCTGGCATGCTTGAGCCATCTGGGTTTGGTGGGAACAGACTGCCAGGGATCGCTAGCACTCTGGGTAATAATTTCACAGCAAATGATTAGGTTGTAGAGAAAGAGGATTTTTAATAGGATGATGTGGCATGTAAGGTTGGAAATATGGGCATTTGCTGGTAGGGAGATGTTAAAGTTTCAAAAAACTTCGTGGGCTCAATAAATACAGTCCTTGGTGTGAGTCAGCCTTCGTAAATCTCCCTGGTCATGAGATGCCCTAGGCCATCTGGGTAATGAAATTTGGAAAACCCGCATCCTTCTGCTGCCCCAGGAGACACAGGGAGGGAAATCCTAGACAAGCAAATTACATACAATCCTTGGGTGTCCTAGCAGTCCACGGTAAAACCACGGCGATCAGCCATGGGCAGGTGTTTCCAGACCTGAGAGGTAATTCACAAAAGCATTTTTAATCTCCTTGTATGCCCTTGTGAGTCCTGGTTTCACCAAGTAACATGTTGTTAAGTATGATGGGAGCTTGGGAGAACTTGGATCTTCTAAGAAATCGGGAGTCTCTGTCCAGAAAAGCAAAGCATCCTGGTTTTAATCCCAAATCCAGTAAATGTGCCACACAGTCAAATAGCCCGCTTTCAGGAGCCCTCACATTAAACACTCGAGGTTACGTGCTGTTCCTAAGGTCCTGCCAGATGTTAAAATGGCTGAGGTCATAAAATCTGGATTTACTGGAAACCAAAGTGGGGCCTTCTCGCTCTTCATGTTCTATCTAAGCCCACTCAGCAGACTGCAGGTAAGCCTCGATCAGCTTACTTGGCCATCTGCCTCAGGCACGGTTCCTAGCCATGTTCTATAATCTTAGTGCACTCTTGTGATAACTATATGAGATATCCTGGCTTTGTTGATATGAAAATTAAAACCTGGGCCAGGTATCTAGTTCATGACAAAACCAGGATTTAAACCTGACAGTGATTTATGGACAGTTGGTTTTCCTGTGCCTGATATTAAGATTTCTTGCTACTCTATAAGAAAGTATATTTGTTACTGGAGAAACAGGAAAGGAAATTGCATAAAGACCAAGGTGGGGGGTAAGATTGCCACTGACATCCTGCCCTAGAAAATGAATTCCACAGGATAAAAGTGAATCAAGGGACACGTCAATAGTATCATTGCAACAGTTTAAACAACAGCTGACCGCAGCAACAGTGGCAGAGCCTATGGTGAGCATAACAGCTCTCAGAGCTTGACCCCCAACATCACAAAATAAAAGCCAAAGAGATCAAGTCAAATGCACCACCTTTCCCCTGCAGGGATCACACAATACCACAGTGAAGGGGGGAGTAGGCACCTCTCTCACTGACCACCCCAACCATAGCAGTGACTACCACAGGACATTTCATGATGGACTCACCGTAACTATTACTTAACTTTGCAAAAGGAGTTAGATATTGTTTGAGGGAATGGAGTATTTGTGGTTCTTCCCATTTCATTTATTGGTCCTTTGTTCTTGATTTTGGTCAGGAGGAATCACCTTGTTAAATGCAGTGAAAGTCATCAGAAGTCTGAAATTCAATCAGTAATAGAATGTGCAACTCTACATGGGAGTAGATATTTTTTCTGGCTTTCAACTTTTTTTGTCAAAGGAAATTAACCAGCCTGCCCTGCTCCTGAAACCCACTGCAGTTCCCTCCCATCTCTGCTCCCTCTCCCATCCCACCCCAGTGGAGAGATCCACTGGCTTCTGGCTCTGAATGCGCTTGGCTGTGATGGTGCAAAATTCATCTGCAGCATCATAAAAGCATCCAGAGGGTTTGCACTCAAGGAAATCACGCTCTCTTTGTTCTAAATCCCAGATGCGTGCAGGAGAACAAATAAACCCTGGTGATGTAGGAATCTAAACTGATCCAGCAAAATTTATAATGATGATGCTTTTTTCCTTCAGAGGAAGAAAAATCCTTGTGAGGGTTCCTCCCACTGATCAGAAGGGTGCAGGGCGCAGGCTTCTCCTCCTTCCTTGACTTCTCTAGGAACTTTAGATCCCCACGAAAACATGTATTACGTAAAACTGAGCCAACTGAACTGACTGCAGTGCTAGCAGGGGTTGGTTTATTAGTCAGTGTGCACTTAGCTGAGGATTAGCAGAAGCTGCTCAAAATTACACCTCCTCAGCTACCAGGGCCCACAGTAAATCCAGGCTCACAGAGCTGCCTTGACCTTGCCCTCCCTCTGTCTGCACCCCTGCCCCCTTCACAACATGCACTGCAGTGGGCAGCCACAAGAAGGGAGGGAGTGGGCTCCGAGGGGAACCTCCCTCTCCCTCTCCCTCTCCATCACCCTCACCCTGGCCTCCTCTTCTCCCCTCTCTGTCTCTGTCTCTGTCTCTGTCTCTGTCTTTGTCTCTCTCTCTCTCTGTCTGTCTCTCACACACACACACACGCATCACATACTTATGAAAACCCATGCTTTCTGCAATAGTATCTCACTCTGAGGACCTAAAAGAGCTACCATAACCAACCATTGAAATGAGTCCTCCACAAGAGGGCAGATGGGGGGAAACTACAGTCCCATGGTCTCTGAGGAACTTACACTCTAAAACATGAGCTGTGCACCAAGCCAATGAGTGGGTCCATGTTCTTTGTCCTAGGACTCGTTCCAAACTCAGCATCCTTTCTTCCTGGCCGCACAGTTGCCTCTCTTGGACCATCTGCATTTTCTGGCTGTCTGGGTGCTGGGGAAGATCTCTTCTGGCTGGAAACTGCAGCAACCTGGTTTAACCAAAGCTGATCTGCTCACTTCTTTTTTTTTTTTTATAGATGTACAGAAACTAGAGTCTCCCCAAGGAACTGGGAATGCAGAAAGAGCTAAATTACAGTTTCTAAATCTTTGATGAGAGTTGAGCTGCTTTCCAGGCTCTGTGGAATCTAATAGATGACTGACCAGTCACCCCATCAAGAATCCCAATGCAGCCATTTCACCATCCAAGACCACCCCATGGACACCAGCCTTGAGCAGACCCACTTTTGTGTACATCAACTGCTTGTATTTGGAAGGTAAGTTAAGAACTCTGATTTATTTGACAGTTTTTCAGATTCATTCATTACAGCAAAATGTTTGCTTTTCAAATGTGAAACAAGATATAGAAGTTCTAGAATTTCTAAATGAAATTTTTAAGTTTTTGTAATGCAAATTCCTTTTGTGATCCAGCATGCTAGTTGGAAGAGTCGGTATTTCATGATTCCAACTTTCTTTTGCAAGGAGCTCATCATATTCTGCTCTCTGGAGTCACTGTTGGCTGGGTTTTCCCAAAGTTGAATCATATTCAGTTATAACCATGAGAAAAACTTAAGTTGGGAATTGCCTGCCAATGAAACCCATATGTAATCTCAAATTCTGATTTTAATCATTAGTTTCAATTTTTTTCACTAAGTAAATCTTCATGCCAGAATGTTCATGAGGCAATCCTGAGATACCATCACCACAGCCGTGCAGCCCTGGGGGTTGGGACCAGGGTGGCTCTGGACTGAAGTCTAGCTCTGCCATTAAGTGTCTGTGTGACCTTCAGTAGATACTTTCTCACATGAAGCTCAGGTTGCAGGTTTCCCATTTGGTCTGTGTGAGGATTTCATATGCTAACTGAAGGATGCACTGCTTAATCCCTGGAGCAGGACTAGTACTCAGTGAATATTAGCCCATGTCATCCTCGATCTTTCAAGCTTGAAAGACGTTGAACACACACCATAAGCAGAAATCAGAGTGGCACCAGATTTCTCACCAAAAAGACTGATACTAGCAAAAAACAGAGCTACCCTTTCTCATTCTGAGACATATTAACATAGCATTCTGTACCTGGCAGATTAGCATTAAGGTATGTCAGTGTCCCCTGTGAAAGACACTGCCTCTGAGTGTCCCCTGTGAAAGCACACACTAGAGCTGGGTAACTTTGGGCTGATGGTTCAATGAAGCAGTGAGGAAGTTCCACTCCCCATTGACCAGTGAGCCACCTTATAGAAGGTGTTGGCAGAGTTCCTGTAGGGGTTAGGATCTGGTAGTGATTTTGTAGAATGATTAATGAAATGGGTGTTTTGGTACTGTCAAGAAGTAATAATTACTCTGTGACTAGTTATCTCAGTGAGGTTTATCTAGGAGTTGGGTGAAACGGAATAGGAGAGGTCTAAAATTTAACTAGACTGATTATAACTTCTTTATGTTGCCAAGAAAGGATATTTTTCAATGTGGGATGGTCATCCAAAGTCTGATTTCTTTATTGTTCACTAGCAGCTTTTCATCATAGAGGACCAATGTCTAATCCCACTTCTTCTGAGCCCATTTATTGTAAACAAATGGGTAGCAAAATCCTGCATTCCTTTGACCTTCCTCAAACTGCAGATCTATGAGCCCAGAGACTTTGCACCTGATACCACACTGAAAAGGCATTCCATGCAGAATCCAAGTCCTTGAGGGCTGGCACCATTGACACCATCCTTGCAGTCCCATGGCCTGTGGAGATCTGTCCTGGGAATGGCCAAAGCAACTCCTGCCTCTCCTTTCCCCAAAGCTCCATCCCTAGTGTTGGTGTTCAAAATCAGAAGCATTGCTGAAAGCAGGTGGCTGCCCTACAGAGCAACTCTGAGGTTCCCAGTGTGAGATTAGAATATAAATTTCCACAGACAGGGGTAAGGCACCTGTTGGAAGACACTTCATCCTGAAGTGTTTGGTTGTTGACCACAGCATCAATGTTCTCTTCCTGAAGAACTCCTCCCTGTATCTCAGTGCACAGTTCAGTCACACAGCATCGCTAGCCAGGAGCACACTCATGGCCCGAGATCTGTCACCATGGGGTTCCTTTTTAGGACCTACACCTCCAGAAGAAGGAGCAGTTAGCCCAGATTCTTCCAAAGAGGTGTGTGCACTCCTGTGTTGCTTCAGATCTGCCTGTTTGTACAAGTGGTTCCCCAGCTTTCCATCACTCCTGAGTCAAGTCCAGTGCTGACTGAGTAAGCTTTGGCTATGGAGAACCAGTGAATACTAATTAGGCTCACAGAGACTTTGCATATGAAAGGAAGGAAAGAAAAAGAGTTCGTTTTATTTCCCAGTGCGTGATGAGAGATGATACCAACACGAAGACAGAATGGAGACAGAAAAGAAGGAAGCAGTCTAGGCTGTTCCCAGGACTCTGCAATCTGCCGTGTGCCACTAGAATTCCAGAGGGACATGGCATGCAGCAGCTACTTCACTATGGCAGGCATTTAAATCAACTGCATTATTTAAGAAAAATAAAATTACAGTAAACTAACTATCTCAAGTAACAAATCCACTAATATAACACCATTTGTCACACCATCAAATGGTTTTAATATTTGAGTTTGAGAACAGTGATCCTAAATGAGTAGGTCAACACATTTAAAACTTGTCCTTTACTGCTAATTCTACAACAGGAAAATAAGAAAGAAATTAAATTTTCCATAGAGTCATTTCACATATAGTTGCTTGAGAAAGAAGGGGGCTGAGAGTCAAGACTAGATTACCAAGATAAATTCACACAACAAGCAGTGTGCTCAACAGAATGAGGAGGTGTAATAAATGTACAAAGGGAGGAGGTTGAAGATACCAACCAGAAATAAAGGGACTGCTAAAATGTTTAATCTGCTCTATGTGAAAATAAATACAGTACATATAGGAACAGCAACGGATGACCTCATTAGCCCTGGAAATCTAAGATGAGAGAGATAATATTCAATCAAGTAATATTCAACTATTGTTTAGAAATTTTGCATAATGAAAGGACCAGAAAAAGTAAAACAAATTGGACATTAAAACTTTTGAGAGGAGTAGGGTGCGGAAGAAAGGAGTCAGCCCTGTGCACCTTGGGATTGAAGATGGCTGCAGGCATTGGAGAAAACATGGCGGCACTTCCTCCAGAGTTAAAAGCTGAGCTTCTGATGACTTGGGATCCTTCTGCAGATCCAGAAAGGAAATCAGTCTGTGGAAGAGGCATCTGCACTCCTGTGTTGCTGCAGCTCTGCTCACAACACCAAGGTGGGGAAGCAGCCTGCATGTCCGAACAGATGTGGAGTGGAACGGTGGCCCGTATGCACATGGCAGCATCATTCAGCCATGAAAAGGAGGAACTGCCATTGATGGAGTGCATTAAACTGCGTGAAACAAGCCAGGTACAGAGAAGAAAATGTATGAGCTCATTAAATGTGCAATCTAAAAAACAGCCACACCAAAACAGAGAAAGGCATTATGGGAGACAGAGAGCTGTAGGACAATGGCACACACGGGTGGTCAAGGAGCAGGAACGCATCTGTGGAGAGAAGGGACAGCATGAAGACGGGTTAGTGATACTGTGTCATGTACCACAAATGTGGCGAAAGAGGAGCTATGAGGTGGTCTATGGCTCAAACACACACACAACACGCGTACACACACAGGCACACATACAGGTAATGCTGGAAAGGGAATGAACCGATTACTTTGCTTAACTCTGTGTGTGACTCATTTCTTTATGTACATGTGTATCCAAAGAGCATGTTGCATATCTTAGTTAATAAAAATTTTGGGAGGATAGTCATACATTCAGAGGAATTACAATTCATCAAAGTATATAGAAATATTCTTTTCTGAATGATACAGCCAACTAAAATCAACTGTCCTCTCAAATAAAACAAAGATAATACAGGTTACAAAAATAAAACTGTCACTTTTATCACATTCTCAGCGTGACAAATACTCTTGGGGATTTATGAATAAGGATCGGTAGCATCATAAAGTCACACTGAGGGCTGCGCTCAGAACATTGGAGCTGCACAGAGTCGGCTGGCGGGCCCTACAGTGAGGGCGACAGCTCTGTGGACTCAGCTTGTGCAGCAGAGCAGTGCCCTGTCCGGGGAAATTCACCAGGTCCCTGGAGTCTGAGGCATCACCCCTCCTACATGGGGACTGAGAGTGCTTGGATAGCACTTGCCTCTGCTTAGAGTTTTTGCTACAAAAAAAAAAAAAAAAAAAAAAAAAAAAAAAAAAAAAAAAATTAAATTTAACTAACAAAACTTCCTCTCCTTGTCTTCTGTGTTTCTGTTGCAGATGGAATGTAGGTCAGAGAGAGAGAAGGCCCCGAAATTCTGCCTCCCAGTGCAGGGGAAACCCCAGAATAGGAACGCACAGAGGCCCCATGGTGGGCACAGTGACAGAGGGCTTGGAGGTTCTGAGACAGTCCACAGGAGTTCCAGTGTGGGTCAAGAGCTGCTGGAGCACTGCAGTCTGCTTTCTGCCACAAACTACACGAGCACTTCACATCTGTTTCCAATTCTAAAGTGAGGGATGAGTCACGTGTATGGGTACAGCAATCAGAATCTCACCCTGCATTGGAAAACGACTTTATTTTTGGCAAAACTGCCAAATCATGTATGCTCCAAAAGCCTTATATGTAAACCCAGAACATCTTTGCCTACACAGTCCTCACAAGAATGGGACAAAGATACGTACATTCTAGAAAGCACTTTTCCTGGGAGAAAGGAATGGCGCCCAGTCAGGACTGCTCCTAAACTGCAAATGAAATATTGACATCCCTGAAAATACGTATGGGGATCCTGGGAACTTCCAGCATGCCACCTGCATAGAACAGCATCTGTGTTAAGGTTACTCACGTGCAAAGCATCTGGAAATATCTCTCAATAACTGAGTGTTCTATAATTGTGCACCCAACGTGCTGCTCTGAGGGGTAGGAACTCAGCAGGTGACTGAAATGCTGTACAGGCCAGACTGAAGGCGAGGGTGAAACTGGTTGTGTACGTCACTGAGATGAGGGACTCACATAATGAATGAGTAAGAGAAAATTCAGTCCCCAGTGAGTAACATTGCCCTCCAAGCTGTGTTTGCTTTGCTGTTATGATGGATGGTTGGTTTTTATTTAAACACAGAGGTATTTCTCTGAGCTGACAAAGAACCACTGGATGCCTGTGGTCCATCAGAGACCGACCCTGTCAGGTTTGACCACCAGACATGCATGCTTGTACCCATGACCCACTCATCACATGGGAAACTCCCGAGACTTCATGCCAAAGTGAGGAGATAGCTTCTGCTTCAGGTAGAGCCTGGTCCATTCCCTTTCTCTCCCTTTGCACATCTCCATGTGCACTAAACTCCTGAGCCCTGTAAGGTCCTCCCACAGAACCCACCTAGGAAGGAAATGTGAGAAGGTGCCTTACTGATGTCACTTTTTTGAGTTTTGAGTTGCCTGGTGTCCTGGCTGCCTCTCTGTCCTCCTAGCTGCCTGCTCACCAGCCTGAGCATGGCACACATGCAGTGCACACACTTCCCTGTGCTGCCACCACCACGCCCAGCCAGGCACCTAAGGCCCAGCCTGAAACCCTCTGCCAAGTCCTGAGAATTCATTCTGATTCTTAGTCTTTCATGGTGTCAGTTCCTTTGAATTTCTCAGAACCAACAGAATGTTTCTGCCTTCTTTAAGAATGAGACTTTCTTGCAGCAGAACTGCCGTAAAAAATTCTACTAGTCTTTCAATCTGAGTTCAGAAGTTACCTGTTTTCTTCATGGAAGATGCTCTGATCTCCACAGTGGAAATTCTCTACATGTCTTTTTTTTTTTTTTTTTTTTTTTTTTTTTTTGTCTTTTTCATTTTTTATCGGTACCGGGGATCGAACTCACGACCGCCTTCTTGCAAGGCAGGTGCTTATGCCGCTGAGCTAAACCCCCAGCCCGAAATTCTCTACATGTCTACTTGGACACTCTCTCTGTTATCAACATCATCACCACCACCATGGCCATCGCCACTGCCAGCCTCAGCCTCTGTGGGTACCACAATTACTACATTTACATCCAACGCCATCTGGTGCATCCCAGCACCTGTCTAGAAGAAAAGCTGTTGATGCTGAGCAAGGAAATGACCAAGGTCTTCCTGTGCATTTCCCTCACTCAGTTCTGCAAGTGACAATGTGAGATGAAAATCAGAGCACACCTAAAAGCCGGAAGTTGATTATTTTTCCTCACTTGCTGGTTTATTCTGTATCTCCTCAACATCCTGCTTCATAGAGAGGAAAAAGGAAACTCGGGTTGCACTTTATGAAAGGAGAGTTGAGAGGTAGCTCAGGAGACCCAAGAAAAGGAGAAACTACTACTTTTCTTGGTTTCTACTTCATGATTCATTTTAACCTCCATTTCTCCAAGAGACACCGGGACAATGCAAAACTATCTATGTGTTACTGTGCAGACTGAAATTTGTCTTCTGATTCCTAGATGAAGCTCATTGAGGACCGGTCAATCAGTAAGCAACATGGAGGTCATCCTCCTCCACGCCTGCTGGGTCACTGTTCTAAGCTCACCCACTGGGCAGGCGCTGCCTCTCGAATCCTCTAGAACATGTACACACCTTGCCATCAGGAGGGTGAGAGCCTTGGAGATGTAGGGGAGAGCCAATGGGTGGCCACTGCCCCAGGAATTTCACTCTCTGTGTGACACACAGAGTTCACTTCCTGAATAATCAGATACCTGGAAACTGCAAAACACTCAAGTGCCACACACAGGTTTTTGAAGGCAGCCACGTCCATATTTGTCTGAGCAACCAAGGGCAACAATAGATCCCTGAGCACAGTTACTATGCACTTCCTGCAATTGCACGTTAAAAGCCAAACACGCTGTGCACAGACACAATCCAAGGATACGGGGGCTTTTCCAGTCCTGAGCACACCTAAGCTCAGACACAAGCCAGTGAGTCACTGTGCACCAGAGGGGAGCTGCCAGAGCCGACAGGGTCCCTCAGAGCCTGCCAGTTCCACAGGAGGCCCCTTGACCGTGGCCTGCTGGCGCTGTTCTGTGACTGGCAAATGGCAGGCCCCAGGCAGCCTTTCATGCAGCTCATTCCAAGTCCTCGACTTTATTATACCCTGCAGTCTCTAAATTGCTGTGGAAGATTTTCTGAGGACTCGTCTGTGGGAACATTGTGGGCTCTGGGGTGCGAGCACTCCTTTGCTCAAATAAGGAATGGGAAGTGGGCTCAGGCAGGAGGACTTACATATTTTCTTCTGAAATGACATATTTGAGCCTTAAAGCAATGTATTCCGTCCTCCTGCTAGCAAAGAATAATGTTGCCTCCCCAGCAGCTCTGCCTTTGAGTCGTGCACGGCAGAAAGGATCTTCCATTTGTGGGCAGCCGCAGCCCCCGGAGCTGTGGGAACACTGCCAGCAGCCCTGAAAAGCCTCCGCACTGACTGGGATCTGGCTGATTAGTGACACTTTGGAGAGTCGGGTTGTCACTGAAGGGAAAAGCAGGGGAACACGGTGGGCGCTGCAGCCTGGAAAGAGGCAGTGGGCGGGGGCTGGCCCCTGCTGCCCCGCTCCCGCAGGAACACCGCTCTGCAGCGTTTTCTAGCACAGAGCTGGGTGTGGGGCCTGGTGGCACACGGCCTCCTTGCCCTCCTTGCCATGCACACATCATCTGCAAAGGGCAGTTCAATGCCACGCCAAAACACTACTTCTTAGAGCTGGGGGAAGCGTGCCACATCTCAGTGGCCTTCGGGTTATGTGTGCCCATCTTCAAATAGCCCTCTATTTCACAAACATTAGACATTTCCAGTGGCAAATACCCCTAACGTATGATGCAAATATTTTAAAAAATCTCAGTAATGAGTTTGAGTCTAAGAACTTGGGTAGTAAGAAATGAGAATTTAAAAAACATTAATGACATTGAAATACCAGTTGAGTAAACTGACCAGAGCATATGATTGGTTATGAAAACCCTTGAGGAAGTAAAGGACACTAGGATTGCAGGGTCGGCTCAGCAAGCAGAGCTGAATGCTCTGAGGGTCACAGTCACCATCCAGTGCCAGCACAGGGCGCCCAGGTAGGGAGCTGGTTTTCTACACCCACAGCTTCTTTACATGAATGTACCTGCTGCCCTGATTTCTATGGCTATCCCAACCCCCGCCAACCCCAGTCTTAAATTTAGAAGCAAGAACTTGTGTCACCTGCATCAGCAAGAGCACCATCTGAGGCAGGCGGGTCCCGGGCTGTCTGCTCTACTCCCTGCAGGGAGAGAATGAACGTCTTGCTGCTGCCCTGCTGGCCAGGAAAAGCCCAGGTCCTGGAGTCCACGCTGGGTGGGGAGCAGGCCCAGGAGCTTGGAGACATTGGGCCACAGAAAACATGGCTGACAGCCGCTTTCCTTCCTCGCCCTGTTCACTGCTCCTCTTGTCTGGTCAGCAAATCCATCTGCCTCTTCCTAATGATGACTTCACTTCACACGGTCCCCTGTTCAGCTCTATCTGTGACACAGACAGTTCCCTGGGTCCTGAGGCTCCTTCCTGCACATGTTCAAGGGCTGCATTTCAGTTCTGGACAACGTTGGGCCAGTGGCTGGGCCACCACCGGCCAGTGCTCGCCACCATGTGAGGAGCACACAGGTGAGTCATCGGGGCATACAGCTGTTGGGCTTTAGAGGTAGGGACATGACAGCATTGTAGGGTAGCTTCATGACAGTCACGAGGTGACAGGTGATACAGTTGGGCACAATGTGACAGGTCTTGCAGAAGTAGCGTAATGAGTGACAGTTTGTGGAGTAGCCCCATTATAACATTCAGGAGATATAACTCGAGACAGTTCAGGGATGGCTGGATGACACTGTGCCAGGGTAGCCCCATGACATAGTACTTATGTGACATATAACCCAGATCTCTGGTGGCCATAGAATACAGTCCCAAATCAGCAAGATGACACAGTTCTGGGGTTTGTCTGACACAAGAGATGACCATGTGGAATGCCACTGATCCATGAAGTCTAAGGAATATCTGCTTCAGAATTCCCAGGGAAGATCCTTCCCTCCATATAGAGAGGGTGGGGACCACCCTCCCTCAGTCACCTCTGAATCACTGACCTGAGCCATCTCTCATCACACAGGAGGAAGGCTCAGGAAAAGTGTGCCCCTGCCTGCCTACCTGAGACGCCTTCTTCAGCGACATAACAATTCATACCTGGTGTTTGTGTGTGCCATTCTGTTACAGTAGGAAGCTGAGCAGTTCCCTGTAGGAATTAAGTTTATTTTGCCAAGCAAAGATAATGTTTCTTAGAAATGTATCAAGTTTAGGACAAAAATTAATTTGAAGCTTCATATAGAATAATGAGAATAATATCCTCGACTTCTATAAATATGAATCAGGCCGGCTCCTGGCCTGAGGTAAAGACATTGAGACATATTGCAGGACCAAGTTTTATGCTCAGACTTCATGGCAAGCAGACTGGGAGAGCAGGAGGGAGAGTCCATGACCTCCCATGGCTACCATCCTGCAAGTCAGAGAGTTAACCACACACAAATGAATGCACAGATGCACCACACAAATGTCTGCTGTGTCACACACAACGCCGATGTCAGCACCTCATTAGCAACTTTGGAGTGTGCCAAAATAAAGTGATTAATTAAGCATGGCTATTCTTTTTCAGTGCAATCTCGCTGGTTGGTTCCCATCAAAATGGTTTATTCCACATACAATTCCCTCACATTTTAGTAAATGTTTTTAAAGAAAGTTTTCCGAAGTGAAATGAGCATTCTTTGTAGACATTCACATTGGCTGCTTTGGTGGAAGCCGGTGGCCCAGAGGGTGCAGTATGTACTACAGGAGACACAGGACAGCACCTGAGCTCCTCACAATGCAACCACACAACCTGCTCCATAGAGCCTCATGTGAGGCTGATCTGTCATGATTTAAGAAACACTGATTTGGTGTTGGACCAAATGCAAAATTAATAAATGATTAATTTTTACATATTTTAAAAAATTAAACGTACTCCAGAGTTCCAGAGCATCCTGCAGTGAGTGTCCCCCGCACCATCCCCCGAACCCAGGGAGTTTGAGATCCTCACTGGGGCACAGCCAAGGAACTTTGTGGCTTCTTCCTGCACTGGACCAGTTCAGCCTGTCTTGAGCCCGCCTGCAACAACTGCCCTGCTCCCTGCCATGCCTGGCGGACTCTGGGGTCCCTGGCCCACCAGTGTCCTCAGTTCCGGAGGCTGAGCAGCCTGCTGTGAGTGTCCCCACACCATCCCCTGAACCAGGGAGTTTGGGATCATTGCTCCCACCAGCCAAGGAACTTCACAGCTTTCTGCCACACTCAACCTGCACCACAGGGATTGGGCCTGCCTACTCCACCCCCAGTGATCCTCTCTCAATCTGGAGAACTGGGTGGTCAGAGTCCCAGGCGCAGAAGGCATAGAAGAGGATTTCCAACAGGCCCTTGGGAAGCCTTGGAATAATACTTGAAACATGGAAATATAAGAAAATGACAAAACAAAAGACCAAAATACAATCTCAAACGTCCAGCCCTTCCCAACAAAGCCTAGGAGCTATGTACACAGAAGAAAATACATACCATACACTTGAAATATTGGACATATTAGCAACTGAAATAAAGCAATGGGAAGCTTTAAAGGAATTCAAACTAGAAAAAAATCTCCCAAGTAAAAGAAGAAATGATAAAGCAAATGAAAGAAATGCTGAACATATCTAAAGAAGATACAGTTTAAAAAGTGGAGGAATTAAACAAAAAGGTAGAATCCCTGGATGAACAATATAAGAAACAAACAAAATACATAAAGCAGATGCAAAGAGATACACAGGAAATCAAAAATTCCATTGAAAGTCGTCAAAACGGCCTCAGTGCTAGTGAAGATAGAATTTCAGACTTCGAAGACAAGATTGCAGTAAGTGAACAGGAAAGGAAAGATTTTTTAAAAATAAAAAGGAAACAGGAAATAATAATTCAACAGCTGCAAGATGATGCCAAGAAAAACAACATACCAATGATAGGGATAAATGAAAAAGAAGGGGACAACATAAAGGATGTCAAGAGGATATTCAGAGAAGTAATAGCTGAAAAACTCCCAAAAATGAGAATGGAAACTGACATCAGAATCAGTGAAGCATATAGAATTCCAAATATCCATAAGCAAATTAAAACTATATTCAGGCATATAATAATCACCATCCCAGAAATTCAATATAATAATAGAATTTTAAAAGCTGTCAGAGAGAAAGACGGATCACCTACAAAGGAAAACCCATCAAATTACAGCAGACTTCTCAGAACAAACAATAAAGTCAAGAAGAGCATGGAGTGAAGTATTTCAGATCCTAAAGGAAACTATCTAGACTGATGTACCCTGCAAAACTGTCCTTCAGAATCGATGGTAAAATAAGATACTTACATGACAAACAACAGCTGAAGAACTTCATGATCACCAAGCCAACCCTGCAAAGAATACTGAAATACAGATTAGATACACTTAGGAAAAAACCACTAAGCAAAGCAGACAATTAACTGAATGGAAAGATAAAGATGCAACAGCAGAAAGATAACATGTCAACAATAAACCAACATACAACAGTTATAACCACTAATGTAAATGGTCGCACTGCACCATTTAAAAGAAACAGACTGGCAGAATGGATCAAGAAACAATATCCAACCATAGGCTGTCTACAAGAAACCCATCTAACCTAAAAGGATACTCACAGACTGAAAGTCAAAGGATGGAAAACAATACTACATGCAACAGGAAACCCCCCCCCCCAAAAAAGCAGGGATAGCTATTCTCTTTGCAGACAATGTGAACTTTAAACCAATAATGATCGGAAGAGATAAAGAAGATCATTACATACTGGTTAGGGGAAAATTTCAAGAGGAAGAGATAATAATCTTAAATACATATGGACCTAATTCCAGAGCACCCAGTTATACAAAGCAAGTATTAATAGAAATGAAAAACCAAATTAGCAGTAACACAATTATACCAAGAGACCTTAAAACACCATTGACACCAAGGGACAGATCAACCAGACAGGAAATCAGCAAAGAAATAACAAAACTGAACCACACCTGTGGACTTGATAGACGTATACAGAGTATTCCATCCAACAACATCAGAATATACATTCTTCTCAGCAGTACATGGTACATTCTCTAAAATAGACCATATATTAGCCCACAGAACATATTTAAATAAATGCAAAAGAGTTGAAATTATCCCATGCATGTTACTGGATCATAGCGCCATGAAATTAGAAATTAATGATAAAAGATATGGCAAAAATCCCACAAATACATGGAAACTGAATAACACACTCTTGAGAAATCAGTGAGTCACAGGAGAAATTAAGAAGAAATTCAGTAATACCTACAAGCAAATGAAAACAAAAATACAACTTACCGGAACCTGTGGGATGCAGTGAAAGCCGTTCTCAGAGGAAAATTTATTGCACTGAGTTCCCACATTAGGAAAATAGAACGAATACAAATAAATAACCTGATGTTACACCTCAAACAACTACAAAAAGCAGAACAAGTCAAGCCCAAAGCCAAAAGAAGAGAGGAAATTATAAAAATCAGAGCAGAAATTAATGCAATAGAGACTAAGAAAACAATCCAAACAATCAATGAATCAAAGAGTTGGTTCTTTGAAAGAATGAATAATATTTACAAACCCCTAGCAACCTTATTTTAAAAAGGGAAGAAAAAGCTCAAATTAATGCAATAAGGAATGAAAAAGGTGAAATCACTACAGACTCTGTAGAAATACCGAAGATCACCAACACCTATTTCGAAAACTTCTACTCTAATAGGTTTGATAACACAGAAGAAATAGACAGGTTCCTAGAAACATATGAAGTCCAAAAGCTAGGTTAAGAAGATGTAAAACTGCTGAATAACCCAATTTCTATTAAGGAAATTGAAAATGTAATTAAATTCTTACCTACAAAGAAGAGCCCAGGCCCAGATGGATTCACTGCAGATTTCTGCAAGAAGTACAAAGAAGACTTAATGTCAACACTCCTCAAACTCTTCAATGAAATTGAAAGGGAAGCAATCCTTCCTAAATCATTCCTGGAAGCAAATATTACTGTAGTACCAAACCAACTAAAAAAGAGAACTACAGGCCAATCTCCCTAATGAACACAGATGCAAAAATTCTCAATAAAATATTGGCAAACAGGATGCAGCAAATCATCAAGAAGATTATACACCATGACAAAGTGGGATTCATCCCAGGCATGCAGGATGGCTCAACATACGTAAATCAATAAATGTAATCCACCATATCAATAAGGCCAAAAGTAAGAATCACATGATCATCTCTATAGATGCAGAATAAGCTTTTGATAAGGTCCAACACTCATTTATGATAAGACCCTTACAGAAAATTGGAATAGATGGTCTTTACCTCAATATGATAAAGGCCATCTATGACAGACTAACAGCCAGTATCATACTAAATGACCAAAAACTGAACGCCTTTACCTTAAAATTAGGCAGAAGACAAGGATGTGCATTATCACCACTCCTATTTAATATAGTACTGGAAATACTAGCCAGAGCAATTAGACAAGAGAGAGAAATATAAGGGCAAATATAGGAAAAGAAGAAATTAAATTATCATTATTTGCAGATGACATGATACTCTACATAGAAGACCCCCAAAACTCCATTGAAAGACTCCTAGATATAATAAATAAATTTAGCAATGTAGCTGGATACAAAATCAATACTCAAAAATCAATAGCATTTCCATACACTAACAACAAAAATCACAGAGAGAGAAATAAGAGAAGCCACACTCTTCACACTAGCAACTAAAAAAATGAAATATTTAGGAATTATTCTCACAAAAGAAGTGAAAGATCTATATAGGGAAAATTATAATACACTGAAAAAAGAAATTTAAGAGGATCTCAGAAAAAGGAAAGACATCCCTTGCTCATGGATAGGAAGAATAAATATTGTGAAAATGGTCATTCTCCCAAAACTGCTATACAGATTTAATGCAATCCCAATAAAAATACCATCAACATACCTCGTGGATCTAGAGAAATCACTCCTAAAATTCATCTGGAACTAGAAGAGACCTACAATAGCAAAGACAGTTCTAACCTGCAAAGGCAAGGCAGGAAGCATCACAATCCCTGACTTGAAGCTATACTACAAAGCAACTGTAGTAAAATCAACATGGTACTGGAATAAAAACAGAGTCGAACATCAATGCAATAGATTAGAAGATACAACCACAACTACAAACACACTCAACCACCTTATCTTAGATAAAGGGGCCAAACATGTTCACTGGAAGAACAACAGTCTCTTTAATAAATGGTGTTGGAAAAATTGGCTCTCCACATGTCGAAAACTAAAACTAGACCCCTGCCTATCACCATATACTAAATTAAAATCTAAATGAATCAAAGATCTGAATATTAAAACAAAAACACTAAATTTATTGGAAGACAAATTGGGTAAACCCTTGAAGACATACAGGTAGGTAGAGAATTCATGAACAGGACTCAAACTCCACGGGAAATACTTCCCAGAATCAATAACTAGGATCACGTCTTATTAAAAAGGTTCTGCATGTCAAAAGAAATCTCCAGCATAGT